TGAATACTGGGTCCTGGGTTTAGTAACACTTTCAATACAGTATGCATTGTCAGCTGTGAGGCCTTTTATAGAGAGATGTGTGCCTTTCCAAATCAGGTCCAATCAATTTAATTTACCACAGGTGGACTCCAATCAAGGTGTAGAAACATCTCAACAAGAGAAATGGGAGGCACCTGAGCTAAATTCAAGCATTATTACAAAGGGTCTGAATACTTATGCCAATGTGAAATGTCAGTTTTTTTTCTTTTTCATAAATTTGGAAATCTTTCTAAAATTCTGTTTTTGCTTTGTCATTATGGGATGAGTGTAAATTAAGAAGAAAATAATTTAAACAACTGTAGTATCAGGCTGCAACATAACAAAATTGAAAAAAGTGAAGGGGGTCCAGGGGCGGACTGACCATTTGGAAACTCGGGCACTGCCCGAGGGCCCGGGGTCAGTAGGGGGCCCCATGAGATGCCCCTGGTACCTTTTTCATAGGCTTTTTTGAGTTTGGGAGGACACAGGGGCCCCATGATCCCCTATTGCCCGGGGGCCCCATGAGTTGTCAGTCCACCCCTGAGGGGGTCTGAATACTTTCTGAAAGCACTGTATGTAAAGCACTGCATAAATTGATGGTACCATATAAGTACCTGTAATAAATTTATTAGTAACTAATGTAAAGTTTATCAAAGTTTACCCATTACAAACAATGTTGTTATCCAAGAGTGTCTCCCTTGCTCCTCCATAGATAGAGGATCCACCCCATGACAGGAAGTCTGTTACTGACCAGAGGAAAAAAAAACTAAAAACAGAAAATTAAATGCAGCCACATTAAATGTTTGGGTATAGATATACTTAAACTCTAACAAAGACACCCTACTAGCTAGCAGAGGTGATGAATCACAAAAGTAGCTGGACAGAATTACAAATCCCTCGGTAGATAAGCTATTTTTCATATGTCTATCTCTCATGCACTGTCCTATATAGCTATTACTCTACACATTTGAGCCTAAACACAGAAATATTCATTTCTTGGATATAAGAATACATTTACTGCAGCCTGACTGTTTATTTAAATAATTGTTACTCATGGAACATTTTTTCTTTTTTTTAATATCACACATTACGTGATTCACATATATTTCTGGTGTCTGTGTATTAACTCACGTTTTCCTCCATCTGCTTTATTTCCCGTCAAGTCATTTGAAGAGATGACCCACACAGAAATAAAATGTTCTGACCTCTGCCTTTCCTGTCTGCTGGCTGATGAAGTAAAAGACAGCAAATCTGGAAACAGTTTTCAGGGGAAGATCCAACATGCAGCCAGCTATCAGGGGACAGTAGATCTGAACAGTACAGTTCTCCAGTCTCCACACATCTTCACCCCAGAAGGACACTTAAGTCCATCACACTTTCCTGTACATCTTCTCTGACAAGTAACATGCGTTTATGCTCAGTAAAATAGCATGTCTTCTAGAGCAGAGTGATTATCCCTGAATCACATCCTGTATGTCTGCTTCCCTAAGTATAATCCACAGACTAAACAGATGAAAGTTGCAGCCAGCTCAGTTCCGTTGAAAGAACTCTAGGCCAATGATTTCCCCTTGAGAAATAAACAAGGAACATGCTGTGCAGGAAGTTGAACACATTAACATAACGGGAATTAGTATAAGCCAACCAAGTCATTAGCACGAAGGAACTGCGTGGACCGGTGCAGTGTCTGCACTATGTATATAGTTTGCTATAAGATGGGTTGGAAATAGTGTTTTTATTACAACATAAATTAATGTACTGGTTATACACGAATGGAATGGAACATTGCTAAAAATTCTAGAAATCAGAGGACCATTTAAACTTACTAAACAGTTACAACCTGAATCATGGACCACTTACCCTAAACCATAATGAAACGTATTCAATTGATAAATCAAGTGTAATGTACATAGTTATTCAGTGTGTTACATAGTGAGAACCTTTTTTGGCCCTCCTCTGTGCTGCCAGATAACTTCTTGCCCAATATACACTCTATTGCCAAAAGTGATGGGATGCCTTTACAAGTCTTAGTCTGTAGGGTTCAATATTGAGTTGGCCCACCCTTTGCAGTTGTAACAACTTCAACTCTTCTGGGAAGGCTGTCCACAAGGTTTAGGAGTGTGCCTATGGGAATGTTTGACCATTCTTCCAGAATCACATTTGTGAAATCAAGCAGTGATGTCAGACGAGAAGGTCTGGCTCTCAGTCTCCGCTCTAATTCATCCCAAATATGTTCTATCGAATTGAGGTCAGGACTTTGTGCAGGCCAGTCAAGTTCCTCCACCCCAAACTCGCTCATCCATGTCTTTATGGACCTTGCTTTGTGCACTGGTGTGCAATCATGCTGGCACTGGAACGGTGTTCCAACATGAATGGTGTGGAACCTCACACCATAATTGCCCCTCCACCAAAATTTACATTTGGCACAATGCAGTCAGGCAACTACCGTTCTCCTGGCAACAGTAAAACCCAGACACATCCATTGGATTGCCAGACAGAGAAGCATGATTTGTCACTCCAGAGAATATTTTCTACTACTTTAGCATCCAGTGGTGGCATGCTTTACACTACTGCATCTGATGCTTTGCATTGTACTTGGTGATGTAAGGCTTGGTTGCCGCTTCTCAGCCATGGAAACCCATTCCATGAAGCTCTCTACGCACTGTTGTTGTGCTAATCTGAAGGTCACATGAAGTTTAGAGGTCTTTAGCTATTCACTCTGCAGACAGTCGGCAATTTCTGCGCACTACAGCATGCTCTGACCCCACTTTGTCCTTTTACATGGCCTACCACTTTGTGGCTAAGTTGCTGTTTTTCCCAGTTGATTCCACTTTATTACAATACCACTAACAGTTGACCGTGGAATATTTAGTAGCAAGGAAATTACACAGATGGACTTATTGCACAGGTGGCAACCTATCATGGTACCATGTGTCAGGAATGGACTGGCCAGCAATACTGGGACTCACCTGCCTTGTGAGCTGCAGTACCAGGGCTGGCCAGCGGGTGCTCCCAGCAATCAGAGACTCAACCTTGCAGCCAGTCAAACACCTGGAACTAATTATACTGGTGTATTTAAGGGACATTCAGACCTGCAGACTCTGCCTTGGTGTTGTGTTTCTCCTGGGCCCTGTTTCCTGTTCCTGTCTGATTCTCTGCTGACCCTGCTCTGATCCCTGGCTTGTCTGACCATTCTCCTGCTCCTGATCCCTGGCTTGTCTGACCATTCTCCTCTGCCTGACCCTCTGTACCATGCTGCCCGCTACCTGCTGAACCTGGCTTGTGACCCCGACCATTTTCCGCTTGCTCCCCCTGTACCTACCTGCCCGATTGATATTGACCCGGCCTGCCTGACGACGCTTGCATTGTATGTACTGTTATCTGTGGGTGGTTGGTTTGGTTTGTTTGCACTGTGTTATGTTTTAGTATTGCACTGCGTTTATGTTTGTATTGTTAGTGTTAATAAATTACATTGTTTATAACATATCTGAAGTCTGCGTTTCCCTGCGTCAGTCACACACCTCTGGTCACACCCGGGAGCCCTGACATTACACCAAGGCCAATCCTGACCAGAAGTGGCTGCACAGGGAAGCCATCTTGGCTTGTTGCTGGGAAAGATGGATCTTGATGAGGTTGTATATTTGTCGCTGCTAGTGTTTGATGACAGAGAATATGCTTCTCAGGCTCTGAGGGAGTATACCCGGGATCAACTGCTAGAATGTATACGGATCGCTCATGTCCTAGTAGATCAGGGCACAGAATTCTCTGAGGTGCAACCTTTGATTCAGGTTTGTGCTGAGTTGGTTTCATCTGGTACCCCCGAATGCAGGGATGAATTTTGGTATGGTTATTAGAGGATGATGTGGATTGCTTCTTGGAGCATTATGCTGCATGTTCACCACAGATACTAAGAGATTGTATAAACGCAGTGCAGACTTTGGTCAGACAGGCTTTGTGTAAGCTCAGCTTTGTTCAACCCATACTGCAGACATGGACAGATTTGTTGCACCCAGCCTCAGTCAGCCTACAAAAACCCAGTCCTGCTTCTAATCCATTTCCTCAAAGCTCTATTCCTGCATTCCCAACAGCTCCTCCTGCCCTGCTATCTACCGCATGTCAGTACCCTGTTCCCACTCGCTGCACCTATCCTGCCTTTAACCCTGTAAAAAAGCCCTCTGTAGCAACTGTTCCCTCCTCTGTTCCATCCTCCAGCTCTTCTCTGTCTCCAGCTGCTCCATTCGTTTGCAGACCTGCGTTTACTTGCAGTGCTCCAGTAGTTAAAACCAGAAAAAAGCGAAAATTCTTTCCAACCAATACCATCCTGCCAGTATCCAAACCGGTGAACCTGCCTTCCGTGGTTCAGCTTGAAGCCTCTACTCAGCCTGAATCTCTACTCAGCCTGATGCCTGTACGCAGCCTGATGCCTCTCTTCAGCCTGATGCCTCTCTTCAGCCTGATGCCTCTCTTCAGCCTGATGCCTCTCTTCAGCCTGATGCCTCTACTCAGCCTGAAGCCTCTACTCAGCCTGAAGCCTCTACTCAGCCTGAAGCCTCTACTCAGCCTGATGCCTGCATTCAGCCTGATGCCGCTACTCAGCATGATGAACTGATCCAGCCTGACGATCCTATTAGGCCAGTTGACTCGATGCCCGCTGTTGATCCAGATGATCCGGTACCTGATCCGGTGCCCGCTGTCGTGCCAATTGACTCAGAGCCCACTGGCGTACCTGGTGACTCGGTGCCCACTGCCTTGCCAGATGACGCGGTGTCCGCTGGCGAGCCAAATGACCTGATGCCTGGTGACCCAGTGCCCGCTGTCATACCTGGTGACCCAGTGCCCGCTGTCATACCTGGTGACCCGATGCCCGCTGTCGAGCCAGACAATCCGGTACCTGATGACCCGGTGCCCGCTGTCATGCCAGTTGACTCAGAGCCCGCTGTCGGGCCTGGTGACCCGATGCCCGCTGCCGAACCAGACGATCCAATGCCTGGTGACCCGGTGCCCACTGCCTTGCCAGATGACGCGGTGCCCGCTGGCAAGCCAAATGACCTGATGCCTGGTGATCCAGTGCCCGCTGTCATACCTGGTGACCCGATGCCCGCTGTCGAGCCAGACAATCCGGTACCTGATGACCCGGTGCCCGCTGTCGTGCCAATTGAGTCAGAGCCCACTGTCGTGCCTGGTGATTCGGTGCCCGCAGTCTTGCCAGACGACTCGGTGCCCGCAGTCTTGCCAGACGACTCGGTGCCCGCAGTCTTGCCAGACGACTCGGTGCCCGCAGTCTTGCCAGACGACTCGGTGCCCGCAGTCTTGCCAGACGACTCGGTGCCCGCAGTCTTGCCAGTTGACTCGATGCCCGCTGTTCCGCCAGTTGACCGCCAGTTGACTCGGTGCCCGCGGTCTTGCCAGACGACTCGGTGCCCGCGGTCTTGCCAGACGACTCGGTGCCCGCGGTCTTGCCAGACGACTCGGTGCCCGCAGTCTTGCCAGACGACTCGAAGCCCGCTGTTCCGCCAGTTGGCTCGGTGCCCGCAGTCTTGCCAGTTGACTCGGAGCCCACTGCCGTGCCTGGTGACTCGGTGCCCGCCGCTCCGCCTGGGGGCCTGAGACCTGTCGCTCCGCCTGGGGGCCTGAGACCTGTCGCTCCGCCTGGGGGCCTGAGACCTGTCGCTCCGCCTGGGGGCCTGAGACCTGTCCTCCGCCTGTCCTCGCTCCGCCTGGGGGTCCGGCGCCCGCTCCGCCTGGGGGTCCGGTGCCCGCCGCTCCGCCTGGGGGCCTGAGACCTGTCGCTCCGCCTGGGGGTCCGGCGCCCGCCGCTCCACCTGGGGGCCCGAGACCTGTCGGTCCGCCTGGGGGTCTGGCGCCCGCCGCTCCGCCTGGCGGCCCGAGACCTGTCGCTCCGCCTGGGGGTCCGGCGCCCGCCCTTTGCCTGGGGGCCCGAGACCTGTCGCTCCGCCTGGGGGCCTGGCGCCCGCCGCTCCGCCTGGGGGCCCGATGCCTGTCGCCCCGCCTGGGGGCCCGATGCCTGTCGCCCCGCCTGGGGGCCCGATGCCTGTCGCCCCTCCTGGGGGCCCGGCGCCCGCCACTCCCGATGCCTGCCCCGGGGGGCCCGATGCCTGTCCCCCCCCTGGGGGCCCGATGCCTGTCGCCCCGCCTGGGGCCCCGCCTGGGGGCCCGTTGCCCCCGTCGCCCCTCCTGGGGGGCCCGATGCCCCGTCGCCCCGCCTGGGGGCCCGATGCCTGTCGCCCCGCCTGGGGGCCCGATGCCTGTCGCCCCGCCTGGGGGCCCGATGCCTGTCGCCCCGCCTGGGGGCCCGATGCCTGCCTGGTGCCTGTCGCCCCGCCTGGGGGCCCGGTGCCTGTCGCCCCGCCTGGGGGCCCGGTGCCTGTCGCCCCCTGGGGGCCCGGTGCCTGTCGCCCCGCCTGGGGGCCCGGTGCCTGCTGCTTCACCTGGTAATCCGATGTGCCTCTGCCCGGAGTCCAGCCCGATGTGCCTCTGCCCGGAGTCCAGCCCGATGTGCCTCTGCCCGGAGTCCAGCCCGATGTGCCTCTGCCCGGAGTCCAGCCCGATGTGCCTCTGCCCGGAGTCCAGCCCGATGTGCCTCTGCCCGGAGTCCAGCCCGATGTGCCTCTGCCCGGAGTCCAGCCCGATGTGCCTCAGCCCGGTGTGCCGCTGCCCGGAGTCCTGCCCGGTGTGCCAGTCTTTGATATCCCGCCAGTTACCAGACCCGGGCGGTGGAACATTTTGCCCAGCTGGGACTGTTTGGAGCGTCCTGAGGCCGCTCCTTGAGGGGGGGGTACTGTCAGGAATGGACTGGCCAGCAATAGTGGGACTCGCCTGCCTTGTGAGCTGCAGTACCAGGGCTGGCCAGCGGGTGCTCCCAGCAATCAGAGACTCAACCTTGCAGCCAGTCAAACACCTGGAACTAATTATACTGGTGTATTTAAGGGACATTCAGACCTGCAGACTCTGCCTTGGTGTTGTGTTTCTCCTGGGCCCTGTTTCCTGTTCCTGTTCCTGTCTGATTCTCTGCTGACCCTGCTCCTGATCCCTGGCTTGTCTGACCATTCTCCTGCTCCTGATCCTTGGCTTGTCTGACCATTCTCCTCTGCCTGACCCTCTGTACCACGCTGCCCGCTACCTGCTGAACCTGGCTTGTGACCCCGACCATTCTCCGCTTGCTCCCCCTGTACCTACCTGCCCGATTGATATTGACCCGGCCTGCCTGACGACGCTTGCATTGTATGTACTGTTATCTGTGGGTGGTTTGGTTTGTTTGCACTGTGTTATGTTTTAGTATTGCACTGCGTTTATGTTTGTATTGTTAGTGTTAATAAATTACATTGTTTATAACATATCTGAAGTCTGCATTTCCCTGTGTCAGTCACACACCTCTGGTCACACCCGGGAGCCCTGACACCATGCTTGAATTCACTGAGCTCCTGAGAGCGACCCATTCTTTCACAAATGTTTGTAGAAGCAGTCTGCATGCCTAGGTGTCTGATTTTATACACCTGTGGCCATGGAGGTGATTGAAACACCTGAATCCGGGATGCCCACTATCACCTGCTCTTTTTGTTCTCACTCTCGAAACTCTAGCTGCAGCCATTCGAAATCACCCAAATATTTCTGATGTCCCCTATGCCGGTACTCAATACAAGGCCAACTTTAATGCGGATGATGCTCTTTTGGTTTTAACCAATCCTCTCATCACTCTCCCCAATCTCCAGGTCATATTGGACCGTTTTTCGACTATATCTGGCCTTCGTATCAATTTGTCTAAGACCACGGCATTGAATATTACGCTCCCTGGCGAGCTGGTTGAACGGATGCAGACACAATTTCCCTACCGTTGGGCATCCCATTCCCTGGCTTATCTTGGCGTTACACTTACTACCTCCTACTCTGCCTTATTTTTGGCTAATTATTACCCCTTATTGCGCTGTTACTTCCCTGCTTCATTCTTTGCAGTTTCCTTCTTTATCGTGGATTGGCCGGATACATGCTGTCAAGATAACTATCTTGCCGAAGATCCTGTACTTTTTTCGCACTCTCCCTATTCAGGTCCCTGCGTCTTTTCTTTGTCTTCTCCTTTTCTTTGGGCTCAGAAACATCCCAGAGTGCCTAGAGCCACTCTGTATACTCAGAGATTACGGGGAGGTTTGGGAGTTCCACATGTTTCTAGATACTACTTGGTGGCTCAGATTTCTCAGTTGTCTATGCTTCATGCTACAACATATATCCGGATTTGAGCCCTATCATGCTTCACAGTTTACGAACCTGGGATTTTGTTAAATATTCGGGTAATTTGATATCATCGTTTCTACCTCTTTTGACAATTATGCATAATTCTTTATTTCCACCAAGCCTAGAACATCCTCCTTCTTTCTCTTGGTGGACCTCCCATGGCTTTGTGATTGTACATGATTTTCTGAGCGCTCGTACGTTTCCATCATGGGAGTCTCTTCAAGAATCAAGGGGGGTCCCGCCACGGGAATATTATTGGTATTTGCAATTGCACCACTGGGTCCTGTCCCTCCGTCGTACCTCTACATATCCTTATCGCAAAATGCCCCAAATGAACACATCTGTCAGCGTTAACCAGGGTCCCCTGGTCTCATTTCTGTAAATTATGCCTCTCTTAACAGTAGGTCCTCCTCACCACCCCTGTCCTATGTCTCTCAATGGGAGCGAGATCTGGGTTTCTTGATTGCAGTGGAGGATTGGCGTAGGGCCTGGGGGATGGTGGCGAAATGTTCCTTCAATACCGTCACTCTTGAGGCAGCCTACAAAGTTCTCCTGCGGTGCTACTGGGTCCCAGCTCGGACTGCTCACTTTAATCCGACTGATAGGCTTCTGGTCTAGGGTTTTTGGTTTGCTGCAAACGTTATTTCATATTACAGTCTGTAAGGATGCAAGGGTAGCCCTCCTTCGGGTTTGTCTAGGTCTCAACAGAAATTGGCGTCCTATCTATTTATTTCGGCCAAACGTGCTCAAGCTTGGAGAACCCCTTCGGTTGTCTTCCAGGGGGTGAAGACCAGATTAATGCTATGCTGATCATGAACAGATGTCTAGCATTCTTCAAGATTCTCATCTGAGATTCCATAAGGTTTGGGAACCTTGGATACATTATTCCCTGCCTCCTACTAGTTATGGCCTCTTATAGTTGTTGCCTGTGCTAGGCCTGAATCCGTGATTCTTCTAGTTTTCTTTTACTTCATATTTTCTTTCTGATTCTTTCTTTTTTTCTTATTTGTTCTATGTTTTTATATTTTCTTTTTCCTTCTTTCTAATTTTTTTTTTCTCTTCTTTTTTCCAGTAATATGATGGATTGCTGCTGCTATTATTTGGTTCGGCTTTTTGTAATCCCTCCTTGATGTCATTGGACATTATTTGGCTAATAAAAGTCAGCAGGATGTATTTGTTTATGTATGTTATTGTTTCTGCTCTGCTACTGCGTGGGCGTATCTTGAGCTTGTTGTATTCTTAAAATAAACCATTCTTAATAAAAATATTGAAATAGAAACACCTGAATCCAATGATTTGGAGGGGTGTTCAAATTCTTTTGGTATATAGTGTATATCTATATGTATTAATTATGTTACTCCCCCCCCCCCCCCCCACACACACACACACACACACACACACATACATGGGCTGGACATGTTTATGGTCACATATAGCACTGTTTATATGTTATAGGCAGTTGTGAAAAAATGCTGTTATTGAAGAATGCTTTCAGAAATAGAACAGTTTATTTTTATCAATTAACAAAATGGAAAGTATGAACAGAAGATAAATCCAAATCAAAGCAATATTTCATGTGACTATCATTTGGCTTCAAACCAGCATAAATTTTTCTAGGTATCCACAGTGCTTGTGCACACAGTTTTTGAAGGAACTCGGCAGGTAGGTTGTTCCAATCATCTTGGACAACTGACCACACACATCTTCTGTGAATGTAGGCTGCCTCAAATCCTTTTTCCTCTCCATATAATCCCAAATAGACCTGACAGAATTGAGATCAGGGTTCTGTGGGTGCCAAGCCATCACTTCCAATGCTCTTCATTCTTTTTCATGCTGCAGATAGTTCTTAATGACATTGGCTGTATGTTTGGAGTCATTGTCCTGCTGCCCAATAAATTTTGGGCCAATCACATGCCTCCCTGATGGTATGGAATGATGGATATGTCTCTGCTGGTATTTCTCAGCATTGAGTGCACCATTGATCCTGACCAATCTCCAACTTCATTTGCAGAAATGCAGCCCCAAATGTAGGAACCTCCACCATGCTTCACTGTAGGCTGCAGACAATCATTATTGTACCGCTCTCACCCCAGTTCCTATGTTTTTGTGCATAGTTGAGTCACTTAGCCTTGTTTCCACGATGGAGGTCTGGCTTTTTGGCTGCAATTTTTCCATGAAGACCACTTCTGACCAGACTTCTCCAGACAGTAGATGGGTATACCTGGGTCCCACTGGTTTCCACCAGTTCTGTGTTGATGACACTGATGGACATCTTCTGATGTCAAAGTGAAGTAAGTATGATTTGTTTTTCATCTGC